GGACTTCCCAAGATTCTTACAGATTCATTCTAACACAAAATAACAGAGGTCCCTAATATGTTCCCTATTAAAAAAAAAAACACAGGAGGGCCTTGAGATTCTGTAACATTCTTTGAAAAAAAGACACTTCGGACTCTCAAGATTCTTTTAGATTCGTTTTAAAACAAAGAAACAGAAAGAATTCCTGGGATTCTTGTATATTCTAAAACATAAGAATCATTAAAATTGTTTAAAAAAACATAACGAGTTCCTGAGATTTGTTTAGGTTCTTAAAAAAAAAAATAGAACAGGCCTTCTAAGATTCTTTCATCTTCTTACAGAAAGCGCAACAGTTACTTAAGAAAAAAATTAGTCCTAAAACTTTCAGTCCAGATTGTTAAATATTTGTTCCACGACTTTTCCCCGGAATTGGTTAAGCTTATCTTAGTAATTGGACTCAATTTTCCATGTCTCTTGTCTTAGGGGAAAAATCCAGTGGTTTCTGGTAATTTTTCTGAAATACATTATATCTAAATATAGGATAATTATGGGGCATATTGTAAAATTCACCATGTCTTTGAATTTTATTTACCAAGTCCACGTCAATTTTTACTTCCCGAGCGTAAGCAAAGGAAGTATTGTAATCGAGTCCGTCGGCCGACTCTCTACTTTTACGTTTTCTCGATCTTTCATGACCCCTAGAAGACGAAGAAATAGGTCTCCCATTTCCGTCTGTCTGTCCGTCTGTCCGTCTGTCCGTCCGTCTGTCCGTCTGTCCGTCCGTCTGTCCGTCCGTCTGTCCGTCTGTTGTCCCGGATTTTTATTAGACAGATAATCTCCGAAAGTACTCGACCGATTGTTGTGAAATTTTGTACTTATATTAAGAATATCATGTAGATGGTAAAACGCTAACCAAAATTTGTCTAATCATCCCCACCACTAATGCGATGACGTCACTTCAAAATTGTACATAGTAAATGGGTTTTCAATTGTATAAAATAACATAGTCCTACACATGTAGTTTACAACTCCGAATCGACTTTTCACCCGAAACGTCCAGATTTTTGAAAAAAAAATCAAAATTATAAAACAACATTTTGAAATTTAATTTTTAATCTGCTAACCAGAATGCTTTGAAATGTTGCAGATGTTTTAAGGCTATAAAGAGCATCATAAATCTTTAGTCAAAAAATATTTGCTTATCCCCTCCAAAAACTTGATGACGTCAGCTCAAAAGTTTGTGGAATAAATCATATCTAAAATGTACAAAATATGATGAGTCTGTACTTGTGATCTATCACTCCATTCATATTTTTTGGATTTGCATATACAGGGTGACTCAAAAAAATTAATGAATGCGTAAATTTATTTTACTGATTTACTCAGAAACTACAAAACCGAATGCTTTGAAATCTTGCAGATGTTTTAAGGTTCTAAAGAGCATAATAAATGTTTAGTCAAAATATATTTGCTTATCCCCTTCAAAAAATTGATGACGTCAGCTCGAAAGTTTGCCGAATAAATCCTATCTAAACTGTAAAAATATGATGAGTCTGTACTTGTAATTTATCACTCCATTCATATTTTTTGGATTTGCATATACAGGGTGACTCAAAAAAATTAATGAATGCGTAAATATATTTTATTGATTTAATCAGGAACTACAAAACCGAATTCTCTGAAATCTTGCAGATGTTTTAAGGTCATAAAGAGCATAATAAATGTCTAGTCAAAATATATTTGCTTATCCCCTCCAAAAACTTGATGACGTCAGCTCGAAAGTTTGCCGAATAAATCATATCTAAAATGTACAAAATATGGTGAGTCTGTACTTGTCATTTATCACTCCATTTATATTTTTTGGATTTGCATATACAGAGTGACTCAAAAAAATTAATGAATGCGTAAATATATTTTATTGATTTAATCAGGAACTACAAAACCGAATTCTTTGAAATCCACTGCGAAAAAAAAAACATAATAGGCATGCAGTCGTCACGTTTCCGACAGCGAGGGAAGTACTGTCTAAACTCTTTAGACCAATTTTTTTTTTTTTAATTGATTTCATATAATCTCAACAGCAATTTTAATGTTTAGAAATTTCGATTTTTTAAATTTGTAATGGTTTCATTTTTCGACTCACTAGTTAGATTTCTCAATTTTTGGTTTTTTAATAATTCGATTTTACAATTTTCAATTGAATCGAAAGACTGAAAAAAAGGGACAAATGAAATTCGGGAACTTATTAAATATCGAAAAATTCGAAAAATGACAACCTTATAAAACTGGATGATTAATTTTAAAATTGAATTTAATTAATTAAACCAATATAAATTTCGGCTTTCCAAATTTTCGATTGAAAATTGAAAAAATCGAAATGTCTATCTTTGTAGGATAATGTATGCTTTTCCGATTTTTCAGATTCTCAGCTTTTCGAATCAAATGAAAATGCAAAGCAAACATTTAAAAAAATCAAAAACTGAAAAATGCTAATTTTCTTTTCAGGATAGCCGGAATCTGCATTGGTATTGCACATATCAGGTGATATTTAGTTCCAGTCCTGGAGTGATCATTGTGATTATTTCAAGGAAAATTCAAGGTAGTCGATTTGACAATTTCGGTAGATTTTATCTAATAATTTTCCGATGAACAGGCATCAAAATCTTTGACAACTAAAAATAATTTCAGCAACAAATGTTATTCAAAGGCGACAATTACATCAGAAATGAAAGTTGAGTAGCATAAGAGGATTTCACGGGAGAAAAAGGTATAACTCAGCAAGAAAACAAAGTAAGTTAAATGATAAATATTTATTAACTTGTAAACTTTTCATTTTCGAAATGTATGTGGGTAATAATTTTAATAATTATAAGGAGCATATTGATTTATTATCGAAAAGTAGTCCCCCAAGGGAACGGAAAAAAAGAAATAGAAACCTTTCGACTTGACATTTTACGTTAAAATAGACAGAATTTCATTTTGTGTGACTAGTTTTTCCTGTTTTCTGCACATACTTTCTTAGTGAGTCGGCAGACTCATTTTGAACACGTTTATAGTGTCTGCAATAAATTCGATAAAAAATTTCAAACTCCTCCAATACCTTTGCTTAGACAAATACTTTCGAACTTTGTGCTGGGAAAAATTTGACCTAATATCATTTATGTTCCAAAGGTAAAACTCATTGCATAAATAAAAAATGAGTTGGTGTAATTAGGTTTAGACACTCAAGAAAAGGTTAATTATTCCCTTGTCAGTATATTACTATCTGCATTCTTAAATATAACTTCGTAGTTGACCTACTATCTACAAAAAAAAAAAAAACGGTTCTGCGAGTCCCGGATGTAATTATTTTTGTGAAGGGATCAATAAATAAGAGTTTTCAAAAACCAATACAGGAAATTTGTAAATTCAAAATATCAATTTACATTCGCGAATTCAACGTAGCGTGTTAAAAAACACACAAACTACTTTGTTAGAACCTTTTATTTTACCCACAAGATACAGTTTCATTTCGTCCAGATACCCAACCATTAGAGCAAACAACGAAACCAGCGACCAGGGACGTTTCGTTGACGTGTGAATAATTTTTAAGTAGTCATAAAGACGTTTCCGTTTATCAAAGATAAGGTCTTTACAAATTTATACACGGCAATTATACACGGTGCGGGGACCAAGTCAAAGTAATAACAACACGCCACGTTATCCCGTGCATTTCACATCCTGTAGACTATTACCGGGGAAAAAATAAGGCGGTCATTGTTCACGTCAAATATCCAGGTGTGTGATTAATGTTAAATTAGGCACATGATATCTTTATTGCGGATATAATGGAAGACGACGTTTCAAGAAATTATGATGTGGGCAACAAAAGGTGCGAACATTTACAACCGTTCCTTCCGGCGATTTCTAGACTCGGGAAACACGCTTTTTTCTAGGAAGAGAGGATGACGTTCACGTAAAATTTGTTTGTCGAGTACGCGAGTAAACGTCTCGGGTAACTGGAGGTAAGAGAAATAGATTTGAAGTAGTGAGATTTCTTTAATATTTGCTTTTATTGCCGCACTAAATCACGAGAATATTTGTTTTACGGCCTACTCGAGGCGAAGTTTAGTTTCTTGTGTCGGGTTTAGATGGGTGTGTGTGACGATGGGATAGTTTGAACGTTTTCTGCAATTAGTAAAATCGTGTGTCATTTGTATGACCTATAACCTCTATCTTAAAGCAAGATTTTTTAAATTTTGTTACGTATTAGATGATTATCCTGAATCGGTGACGTCACCTGATACAAAGTTGGCTGTACATATAGTACTTCAACCAGTTGTCACATTAATTAGTTAGGTTAAGATTGTTTTATTAAATTGAATAAATCCACTCCGAACTGATTCATCACTGAACACCTGTTGGGTGTTGCGCAACTAATATTAAGCGTTCCGAGGCTTCTGTAACCGGCGCAGATAACGAAATTTTGTACTTACCTTGTCTGGTCGATTTTTTTTTAATTTGTGGTTCATGTTGGTTCTTATTTTGTTACTTTGTTAGTAACCGTAACACTTAAATGGAATTATAAAAACACGTGACGTTGACAAAAATACTCTTACTCCAAATTAATTTGTTGCTTAATTTAAAAATGCCGTGATGTATGCCTCTCATTTATCATCGTTTTACGTCAGGTCATCAATTATAAAATTAAACCATTACTTAAAATCCAGTTAGAAGATATTTAGTTAACCGCTTCATTAAATATGACACATTTTACGTATTCTAAATATACAAACGGCAATTTTGAAAGTACTCATTTAGCAATTTTTTTAAAATGTGTCAGTTAGTTTTTCGTGTTTTCTATATTTAAATGGTGTTTCTACTTACCTTTACGTGTTTGTAAACTTAAATTAGATTTTTTTATGTAGGTAGGTAAATGATACTCGTATTGTTCATAACATATATTTATTTGAGCCTTCATTGCGTTCAAATACAACAAAATATTAAATAAAGTTTAAAAATTTTTAATAACATAAAGGAGCTTTGCCATGAATATCAGCTAATGCGTATACATCTTTTGTATTATTCAGTATAGTATAATTATTGATAAATATTTATTTAAAAACTTTCTTGGAAGATGAGATATTTACGATATACGTATACGTAGTGTTTGTGTAATTTCATTTCAAACTTTTACAATATTCGTACTTAATAAATAGGTTCTTTCCATGATGAATGAAATCAGTGGTACCACAACTACATTTTGAATACGAATTTTCAATACTCCCAAAAGTACGATTTATTTTTCACCAACAACTAATTTAGTTTCATTTTTATTTTCTAAACGACAAAGGGCCGAACTTGCACCGGTCCGCCACCACCGTCCATCAAAAAACTACCTTACATTTTTACAACATGTCACATCTATCAGTAAATAAATTGTTGGCAAAAACTGACCGACGGTGGCTGCCCCCTCAAAGTATACATCTTACAATACTGACTTAATCGTTAGTATTTACAGGATTTTTGTGACTTAAAATTCGTATAACAATCATAATCACTTGAGAATTTGTAGTTCCGCTATCAATTTACAATATAATATCACTATAGCTACCGTTATTACTATGGTTGACGATATGATAACATCACAATATTAAACCGCTCACAGCGGCCATGCCTTCGAGACTATACTTTACAAAATAGGAATGTTCTGCACACGCACTATTTACACGTACTTGCTAGACAACTGCTTGGCCAACTCCGTGTACTTGAGAAACTTCGAATGCGGGCTCTCCTCGAACCCGGGCGGAACCGGCGGGCTCTTGCTCCCGGTGGATCCCGGCGTGCTCGCCGAGCTCGGCGGCGCCACCCCGGTACCCTTCAGCGGCACCCCCTCGCCGGACGAGCTCGACCCCTGCTGCGACGACTTGAGCGCCACCGGATCCGGGATCATCCCGTCCTTGACGAAGTGCATCTTCGACAAATGATGCCTGTACGCCCCCTTCGAGATGAACGGGGTGTCGCAGAACGCGCACTTCATGATCGAATCCGACGTCATCACCGCGTCGTTGCACGCCCAGCTGAAGGCCAAGATCGCCCCCGGCGTCGTCCCGGCGTTCGATGGAATATTGTTCGCGTTGGTGCTAACGTTAGAATTGGATGTCGCAGAATGTGTTCGGTTGTTCGTGTGGGTTTCAGTCTTATCACATAGTTTTTGTAAGGCTGCCAGAGGATGACTCGAGCCCCTCTTGCCGCCGGGAGGCGGCCCCGCGTCGCTCGCGGAGTTGTTGCCCGACAAGCTGTCGAACATGGAGCTCAACGCCCCCAAGCTGCCGCCGGGCTTCCGGTCGCCGTTGGTGCTCCGGGGAGTCCCGGAGCGGTCGCTGCTGGCAGGACTGGTACTGTTCCGACAGGGGCTGCTGGGGTGCGGCTCCACGGGCTGCCGAGGACTCGCCATAGGAGTCCCCGATCGCTTGTCGTCGTCGTCGTCCTTGGGACCGTTACTGTGAAAACTCCGCTCGTCTTCGTCGCGGTCTTCGGCTTCACGCTTAATGCTAACGCTATGATTCTCGAGTCTTTCGTCGTCGTCAACCTCTTTTTTTATGAGGAGGTCGCCGTCGTGGTCGGCGGCGGCTTTCTCGGAAGCCGGTGATTTGTCTCGTTTGTCGGGGGTGGAGCGCGGAGTGCTGTTCATGGGTACTCCGGGCGGCTCCATCTTTCGTTCGGGCGTCAAGGAGTCCACCCGGCTGCTGCCCCGCTCCGAAATCGAGCTGGATTCGCTGCCGCTCCTCTCGCGTCTACCGTAGTGGTGGCTCTGTTGCTGGTGATAGCTTCGCAACAGATTCATCGTTTGAGCGTCCACTAACGGTTTCGTGTAATCTACGCTTTCGTCGATCCCTAGTCGCTTTAAGATACTGGAACCCATCGGGGCTGTCGCCGGGCCGTGACCCGGAAAAGACGAATTTTGGCGAGATCTCGAATCGAAACTCTTCTCTATCAGTTTTTCGATCGCGTTGAGTACGGAGGGCGACGAGCCGTTGTTGCTTTCGGGAACCGCAGCTCCGTCTTTGTTAGTACTGAGATCGGTGACGGAGGGAGATCGTTGCTGCGGCGAAGGAGACTTATCGTTGACTTGCTTAGGCTTATCTCTGGTCGGACTCTCCGGCGGTAAAATATTATTGGACATCAACGCATTCTTTAAGAAATTCCTCTGATTGCTTCCAATGGTACCTCCTCCCACGCACTGCCGTATGTGATCCACAAACAACGAAGTTTCAATTTTATTTCCGCACTTTTCGCAAGTTATTCGGCCTGCTCCCGATGGATCTCGCATTTTTTCAATCAAACTTCCACTATCGCCGTTCTTGAACTCGTGCTGAGCTCTTTCCAACTCCAATAATTTCCGGACAGGCAACGACTTCTTGCGTTTCTCTCTCGTTTGCCTTCGTCGGCCTCCACTTTCAGTAATCGACCTCATTATGTGCTCTTTGTAGTGCGAATTTTTAACCATGTGGTTACTCAACTCCTTCAAGGAACTGAAGGCCTGATCGCAAACCTTGCACGTGAGAACGGCGCTGACGTGACTGCTGGGGCCGCCCGGGGGCTGGTTGCTGCTCGAACCGCCCCCGCCGCCGCCGCCCTTGGCGTCGTCCGACGACCGCCACGAGATGATCTGCTCCTGCGAGATGATGTTGGTGTAGTGCTGCGTCTGCTGCATGTGACTCGTCATTTCGGCTAAACTTCTGAAGCTTTGCCCGCACCACATGCACTTGAGTATCTGGCGCGTTTGTTCCGCACCTTTCCCCAGCCACACATCCTGTCCGCGCACTAGCTTCCTCGGCAGCGGCATCGTCTCCTTGATCAGCATGTTGAGATCGGACGCATTTGGCTTCGTGGAGTTCGTCGAAGAAGTGCTCGTGTTGGTGTTCGACGGCGACGTTATCTGAGGCTGCGGATTGATGATCTGAGATTGCATCGGAGGGACGGGAACGTTGACGCCGCAGTGTTTGGCTTCCTTCATGTGGGTCGTCATCGCGGCCAAGCTCGGGAAGCTCTGCTTGCACCACACGCACTTCAACACGTCTTTGGCCTGCTCGGCCCCTTTGTTCAACCAGTGCGACTGCCAAGCGCTGTGTCTGTTACTGGCGGAGTTGCCGGGGGCGGCGTTCGCCATGCTCCGGAACAAATCCTCGCCCCCGAGCTTACTCAACTCGCTCATCTTCTCCAGCGCTTTCGTGGCGTCGCTCGGCGTCGGCGTCCCGTGCTTCAGCTTCCCGTTCCACAGGTCCGGCGAGCCGCTCGACTTGGGCGACAAAGTCGACGCCGCCGCCACCGCCGCCGCGAAGTACGGCAGATGCGACGCTCCAATCGGCGACGGCCACTGCGGTAATACTTGCTGCGGTTTGAACTCGGTGCGCGCCTTGCGGTTCGGCGGTTGCGCGACGCCGTCGTCGGAGGTGCGCTTCCTGCTGCTCACGCTCAAATCCAGCGGCCCGTTCCCGGGCTCGCCGGCCGGCGGAGTGCCCGGCTTGCTCAAGTTCACCACGTCCGAGTCACTATCAGCGTCACTTTTTTGGCCACGTTTACTAAAGTCTAGGATGCCGTCGCCGGGGGGAGAGTGCATGGACGCGTCCACGGCGTGGAGCACCCCCGGCGGAGACGAGGAAGACGACACCAGCGGAGAGATGGGAGCTCTGGGGAAACTCGACGGCGACGTCATCATGAGGCGGTGCGACTGCTGGGCCGCCGCCGCGACGGCCGCCGCGTTGAGGTAGGCTGCCATGGCGGCGGTCTGGGGCGGCAGCAGGGCGGCCGCCGCCGCGGCCGGAAGGGTCGCCGGCAGGGTCACCCCCACCGGGCTGAGGGCGGAGGCGGCCATGGGGACTCCCCGCAGGAGGGCGGCGCGCTCCGACAGCATGGACTCGCCAGACGGACAACGGGGTTGCACCAGGGAGTCCGCCGAATCGCGAGAGTTGCACCGGGAGGTGGGTAAATCCCTGCAAGGAAGGCTAGCGGTTAGAAACTCATTCTGGCGTCGGGGGTCTACAACCCCGATTACACAATAATACTTATGCATTAATTTAAAATTACCGCCAAGATGACGTCACGGGCCTAACATGCGACGAACCTATCACGTGGCGAATTGAAAGGTATACAAGATCCAAAATCATCATAGAACACTAGAAATTGCTCTAAAATTTTATTTTATCATACCTATAGTTATTAACTTTATGGCAAAATCTTCGTCAGTCGAACAAAAATCGCTTATTATTGTATATATGTATATAAACAAACAAAACTGCTTTTGGACACACACCGACACCGCGAACTTTCAAAACTCCCGATGGGCAGGTTAATCCTGGAAGGAGCCCCGAGAACAACTGGCTCCCTTGGCACGTTGAAGCGGAAACGCGTCATTATCAAACCGCGGCTCCATTGAGATGTTAGATAAACACTAGCCGTAATTTACGATAGGATTGCCGAAGATTCTATCCGGTGCGGAGTTTCGCAATTACCTGCAGTTTAGTGGATCTTCGTTGACGGAGCGCGGACTAGAAGGCGTCGGGACGTCCCCGGGCGTCGGCGACGTCGCTTCTTCCTCGGGAGGCACGGGCGATGCGGCCGAAGTGGGCGTCATAGACCCGGTGTCCTCGTCGCCTTCCAGTTTATCGCCTTCTTCGGGAGAACCTTCTTCGCCGCCTTCCCCTGCAAAGAATAACAATGATGATTATGCGAATTCTGCAGACGCCAGTGTTTTTATGTTAAAAGTGGCAGTCGTTAATCGCGTTCCTGCGAGTTATTTTGCGTGTTTTCGGCGTGATTCGTTATGGAAGGAAATTTTCGAGCGGGAGATAGGATCGAGGCAGCACGAGCATATAATAACCTTTATATAGCGAACAGATGTTGAATTGCAACTGCAACTCTCGAACCAAATAGGTATATCTGGAAATGAGATCGCATCATCACGAGTTTTCGAAACAATATCGTAATCAAATGTCGTGTTGTTCTGTATTTTCGCAGCGTGCACACTACTTATTTTAATTTATCGTTGGTCCCGATCGCATTGTTTCCTCTTTCTGATATAAGTTTCTTAATGAAGTCGCCCCGCTTGATTGACAACCACCCTGAATTTTGACTCGCAATCAAAAGACCATTGTCTCAACTTTGATTAAATTGCTTTCACACTAAGTTTTTAATCATTTCAATTATCAGAAATCAATTTTTGGCGTCCACGTATTATTAATGTTGTCAAGTCTTGGAGCCTGTTTTTATCCAACGTCTACACGGTTGAACGTGAACACTACGCGACTTTCCATGAGAAATGACTTTAATCAAACGTAGCACATTAATAAAGATTAATTTATTGCAGCAGTTCCATTAAATCATTCAAGAAATGACATCTGCAGTTTGCCTTGAACTATCACGTTTTTCATCGTCTCTGTATATACCAGGTGTTGCTCGTAATTGATGGGTCAGTTCACATTCATGTTTGCGTTTCTTTTCCGACGTTGGAAAGAAATACGCAGACCGGTGCAAACGCTGCTAGAGATTTATTACCACCTTAATGCGCGAATGCAAATACGAAAATTACACACCCGACGGCGGACATCACATGCGGGAGACGACGAATGAAGACCTTAGAACCACAACAACAACCACCAATTTTCACCCTCACGAACAAAATCTATGACAAAATTCTTGAATTGTTTGCTCGTTGTTTGAACAAGCGGTATACACAACAGCGGTGTCAAAAAGCGATCTCACTATAGTCACGTTATTTCGGAATTAAAATGAGTGTGTGTCTATAGAAAGAGGGTGTATTTTTGTGGATTGAGTGTCCGTGAGTAGGGGACCAAGCGATCATGCGGAATTACGGTATAAAGGAATCTCCTCTCGAAATTTTCTCGTGGTGGCCGACGAAGTGCGCGATTGTTAGGTAGCCAGTAATGGCAGTAAAGTAATAAAGGAGATAGTGTGTCACGATCGTGAAATTCTCATTCTGCATGCTTTTGTGCGATGTTTTCTAGACGAGGGGTGTTTGATCACGTTAGGGAAATTTTTCGGTAATTCAGCGAGGTCGGTGGTTTTATCGGTGTGGTGTTGTTAGTGAATACCCGTGTGTGGACAAAGCCAAATGGGGTTGTAAATTCTGTCTGGCATCAAGTAACAATGTAATATGGACGTCGTAAGCTGGACCAGGGACGTGCAGGAAGAACGGGAGTGTTAGTAATGGCTCGATTAAATTGCTAAGGGACGCTAAAGAACGACATCATGTTATTGCATCAAATCTTCCGAGAGATATTGTCCATCATCAACTGTTTGTTTCTATTATTTTTCCCACAAACGTATATATTAATAACGGTTTTGTGTGCACGATACGAGCGATATAACTATGGAAATTGGAAAGCTTAATGAACGGAGAAAACGTTACGTCGTGGTTTTATGGGATTGTTACGGCGACCCGCTACACGTGCATTTCCACGTCTCGTCTAATCCGGGAGCGTCACCACAGACAAGATTTTCGCACAACACTAAACTAATTAAAAAAAAAAGTTCTAGATTTTTGTTAAAAGTCCGGAAGCGTCGCGTCCGATAAGATTTTTCCGTCCGGTGGTCAGCCCGTCCTGCACTTGAACAATACACGGCATGGTCCGCCGAGGTCGCCTGATTTATGCACCATTGTCTTTCATTTGAGCGCATATTTCTCGTATAAGGCATTCGTTGTGTGAGTAGCCGTATCTCACGAAGAAGAGGAACGCCGTCCCGTATTTCCTCGCGGTCGCTCGCTATCTAATGCCCGCCTTATCAGCGCCATGTCCGTCTGTCACGCGCACCTGCGACTCGCGCAGGATAGGATACAGCGCAATTAATTCCGGGAATCCTTAAAAAGCACCACGCTCGCTGCCAACCGGACCGAACAAACCAACACACGAACTCCGGCTCACTCCAATATCTTTCGTTTCGTTGGATATCTGATTGCTGTTAATGAATGTGAGACGAACGAATGTGTGATCTGATCTTCGCCAATTTATAGAATCGCCAGGACACGCCGGACTCCGTAAGTGTAACTGCCCCTTAACATGAACAATTTTGTGATAGCATCGTCGAGTGCAGGGCAGCAAGAACGGTAATTAATGGGCTTGTGCACGTTTTGAATCGTTGCTGGGAAATAACAATCGGGGATTTTTCGGTTCGATTAGTTTGCATGGTCAAGGCGGCCATTAAAGGACGGCGTAGATTAAATAACAAGTCACGTGACAATGTTACATATTATTTTAAAAGATCTTAAAATAAACTCTTAAAATAAACAAGGAGTTTTTCAGTATTCAACAGTATTAAACAGTCACTCGGTATTATTGTGATGTGTATCTGTCTGAGGAGAGTCTTAGAGTAAAAACAAGGTAAGTCGAGACGAAAGAAGAGAGTCAAGTCAAGACAAGCCAAATCGAGCCGGACCGAGTTAAAAAAAGTGCAGTCGAGCCAGACGAAGCCAATCTGAATCGACCAAACATTAGAAAAAGAAAATCGGTTCTTTGCAGAACCGCAAACGATATTACATCCCACAGAATTGCTTCGTAAATGGCGTCATATATTAATGTCGGTTCAAGATGACGTAATACAATTTTTATTTGTCCCCTAGTATGATCGATAGTGGATCTTTCAATTTTATTTGTTCTCTAGTATGTTTGATATTCGATTTTTCAATTTTATTTGTCCCCTAGTATGATCGTTGTCAACTTTTCAATCATAGTTTGTCTCTTAGTCAATTCATAGTCAATTTTTCGATTTTATTTGTCTCCCAGTACGTTCGACCGCTGACTTTCTAAATTCACTTGTCCCCTAATATGATCGATCGTCAACTTTCCAATTTTATTTGTGTCTTAGTATGTATGATTCATAGTCGATTTTTCAATTCTATTTGCCCCCTAGTATGATCGATGGTCGATGTGTCAATTTTAAGGTCCCTTTGTATGATCGACAGTCAATGTATCAGCTTTATGGTTCCCTAGTATGTATGATCTATAGTCGATTTTTCAATTTTATTTGTCTCGTTGTATGTTCCATAGTCGATGTTTTAATTTTATTTGTCTCCTAGTACGTTCGACAATTGATTCTTCAGTTTTATTTGTCTTCCAGTGTGATCGATAGTCGATTTGCTAATTTCAGTTGTCTCTTAGTATTTTCGCCAGTCGATGTGTCAATTTTGTGGTCCCTTGATATCTCCTATGGAGGATATGTCAATTTTATGGTCCTTTTAGTATGATCGATCGTCGATGTGTCAATTTTATGCTTCTCTAGTATAATCGATAGTCGACTTTCCAATTTTATTTGTTCCTTAGTCCGACTGATGGTCGATTTTTAATTTTTATTCGTCCCTTAGTATGATATGGTCCCGTAGTATGTATCATCAATAGGCGATGTAACAATTTTATGACCCCCTAGTTAGTATGATCGATTGTCGTTGTATCAATTTTATGACCACTTTGTATAATCGATGGTCGATGTGTCAATTTTATGGTCCCCTAGTATGTATGATCGATAGTCGACCTTTCAATTTTATTTGTCTCCTAGTGCGTTCGACAGTTGACACTTCAGTTGTATTTGTGTTCTAGATTTTTTAATTTTATTTGTCTCTTAGTATGGTCGCCAGTAAATGTGTCAATTTTATAGTCCCTTGAGATGTTCTATAGAGGATGTGTCAATTTTAGGGTCCCTTTAGTATGATCGATCGTCCATGTATTTTATGGTACCCTAGTATATTCGACAGACGATGTGTCAATTTTATTGTTCTCTAGTAAAATCGATAGTCGATTCAATTTTATTTGTTCCTTAATCTGATCGATGGTCGATTTTTCTATTTTATTAGTCCCTTAGTATGATAGAAAGTCGAAGTGTCAATGTTAAAACTCCTGTGTATAATCGACAATCGATGTATCAAGGTAATGGTCCCTTTGTACCATTGACAGCTAATGTATCAGTTTTATGGTCCCCTAGTGTGTATGATTAATAGTCGATTTTTCAATTTTATTTGTCCACTTGTGTGTTCGACAGTCGACTTTTCCATTTTATGATCCCTTTAGTATGATCGGTCGTCGGTGTATCAATTTTATGGTCCCTTAGTATGTTCGACAGTCGATATGTCAATTTTATGGTTCTCTAGTATAATCGACTGTCGACTTTTCAATTTTATTGGTTCCTAAGTTTGATCGATGATCGATTTTTCAATTTTATTTATTCCCTAGTATAATAGATAGTCGATGTGTGAAGTTAATGGTCACGTAGTCGCTGTGACAATTTTATGACCCCCTAGTTTGTATGATCGATAGTTTATGTGTCAATTTTATGGCCCCTTCGTATAATCGACAGTCGATGACTCAATTTTATGATCCCTTGATATGTTCGACAGAGGATATGTCACTTTTATGGTCCCTTTAGTATGATCGATCGTCGATGTATCAATTTTATGGTCCCCTAGTATGTTCGACAGTCGATGTGTCAATTTTATGCTTCTGTAGTATAATCAATAGTCAAATTTTCAATTTTATTTGGTCTTTGGTCTGATCGATGGTCGATTTTTCAATTTTATTCGTCCCAGATAGTAGATGTGTGAATTTAATGGTCCCGTAGTACGTATCATCAATAGCCGATGTGACAATTTATGACCCCCTAGTTTGCATGATCAATTGTCGATGAATCAAAGTTAT